ACTCAGTAATCTGTTTCTAAATGTCTACAACCAGAGCTATAGGTTGGGAGGCTGAGTTGTAGTATTTGCTGATTTCCATGGAATAAATACTGTTTCCATGGCCAATTTCAACATACCAGTGTGAAACAGTGAAGTCAATCAGTTAGCAAAATTCCTGAAGATTTTGTGATCAATCCTCACGATAATATATAAGTTTACTTGAGCAGATCATCACCTCCACTCTCATTCCATTCCATAATAATTAAATCAGAATCTTTGAGGATCTGTCCAAGGTAAGTTTGTCTCACACAGAGCCCTTGTAAAGTAGTGTTTGGCCCCTGGGTTTGCAACCTGTCTCTATCATTTAATAGTGGTATAATGTTGGGAAACTTACTGTGCCTCAATTGTCTTCAACTGTAAGATGGGAATATTAATTATATCTACTTTATAGGATAATTCTGATGATTAAAAGAATTCATGTAAGACACTTAAAAGAGTGCCTGGCAGCCTGGCATGGTGGCTCATGCCTGTAATCCCAGCACTTTGGGAGACTGAGGCAGGCGGATCACCTGAGGTCAGGAGTTCAAGACCAGCCTGGCTGACATGGTGAAACCCCGTCTCTACTAAAACTATAAAAACTTAGCTGGGCATGGTGGCAGGTGCCTGTAATCCCAGCTATTTGGGAGGCTAAGGCAGGATAATTTCTTGAACCTGGGAGGCAGAAGTTGCAGTGAGCAAATATCACACCATTGCACTTCATCCTAAACATCAAGAGTGAAACTCCATCTTAAAAAAAAAAGGGGGGGAGTGCCTGTCATATTAGCAATTCTTATGCTCTCTTAACTCAGTTTCTTCATATTAACTAGATCTCTTTGAGAAAACTGTCCAAACTTGACTCTAGCTACCATATTTAGTGTTAATTTTTGCATGTGTTAATTGTCCAAAGCAACTCAGGAATTCTGTGCTGGAAAAAAAATTAAAGATGGCTTAGATTGAGAATTTTGAGAATTTAGAGTGAGGACAAATAAGGATTTTAATTAAAACCACAACTCAAATTCATGGAATGGTATATTTCATTCCTTATACCAAGCTAGGGTAAAGAGGGTCAGAGAACATTCGATCAGGGAGAAATATTTCCTTTCCACCAATATTGTGACCCTAGGTAAAAGATGCTGAAAGAAGGATACTCCTGCGAAGATGCTTCACTCCGCAGGGCACGGGGGCTCACGCCTGTAATCCCAGCACTTCAGGAGGCCGAGGCAGGTGGATCACCAGGTCAAGATCGAGACCACCCTGGTCAATATGGTGAAACCCCGTCTCTACTAAAAATACAAAAAATTAGCTGGGCATGGTGGCGCGTGCCTGTAATCCCAGCTACTCAGGAGGCTGAGGCAGGAGAATTGCCTGAACCCAGGAGGCAGAGGTTGCGGTGAGCCAAGATCGCGCCATGGCACTCCAGCCTGGGTAACAAGAGCAAAACTCCATCTCAAAAAAAAAAAAAAGTGTTTTTAAATCTTGTATATGATGTGAAATATCAGGGAGTAGAGGGAAGAGAACCAGCATTTTTAAAGTTTTTATTTCACACTGAGTACTATGGGTAGCAGTTTCCATAGCCTATCCTGTGAAGTTTCATGACAACTACAGAAGTTAGTTTTTTGTTCTTTTCTTTTTTAATGCAACTCAGTAATTTTTATTCCAGCTGGAAGACAGTACATCAAAAAAACCTATGGTAGGTTGAGGGGAAGTGTTATTTACAATAAATGATGAAATAGTTTGTCTTTGGCAATATGATTACATAAGAAGAATGCAAAATGCAGGTATGGATGCCTTCCAAGCAACATCATCAAGTCGCTAGAGTTTAGTTGATTGTGCCTGCCTCCACATTGTTTCTTTAGGTTCACATAAACGTAACTGAACATCACGTTCTTTCTCCTTTATGGTTCTCCCTTTCTATTCATGATATTGACATAAATACCAGAAAAAATTTGGCTTTTGAAAAATTATTATTATCATAAATTAATTTGGCCATGTAGTTCTATTGGCCAGCCAAGGTCACACAACCCCAAGCATCAGTAGTAAACCTCTTGTTCTTCTGATTGTTTTATCATTTTTTTCCCGTAAAACAAAACAAAACTCAGAAATGTTACAGAATCAGAGTATGAAAAAATGTACAAGTGTATATGCTTCCCAGACACACATAGATACATTTTTCCTCCACATTTTTATCATGATACTAGTAAGTAGTGAGTGTGAATGGCACAGCGTGAAACTGGTTACTGAATCAGCTATAAGCTCAGATGGCCTCAACATACATACTCAAGAAATGCTGAATGTTTAAATGGCTGAGAGTGTGCTAAATCTCATCTTAAAAAAAGGATGAGAGGGGCTGGGGAACTCAGACCACAGTCATGTAAACTTAAGGGTTGGACCTGTAGCAGATCACACCCTGCTCCTTTGCCCAGCCCCCACCCAGGGTCGGCAGTGCAGCTCCCACCCAGGACAGAAGTTAGGTTTTTTAATTCACTAAAGGTTTAGGACTAATAGTTTGTGAAACTGTTTTACACATTTCAGTGCGACTCCAAAATTCTTCATCAATATTAATTAGACTCATGCTGCTTATGAAAACGCAAAACAAATGCAGTTTTTCTATAAGATCATTATAAGCTTATGTATTTGCCTCGTACATACTTTTGTAATTATCACTGAGAGTAGAAATAATCAAATCTTACTCATTTTTGCATCTCTCAGTAAGCATCATAGCCTGACACAGAGAGGTGCCCATTAAAGTTCTGTTAACAAAACAACAGACATCAAAGGGAAGCTTTAGGTCAGGAATAACTAAAATTATTTCTGACATTATTTGGCATATGTTAAACAGTTCATAATAAATTTTTATTATAATTTAAATAGTGTGTAATAACATTTTTTAAATCCATACAACAATCTCTCGTATGATGAATTCCTAGAAATGTGTCTGCAAGTTCAGAGGTCTGTAAATTATGCAAAATGTAAGTGGTGGATTTTTGCAAACAAATGTATATTGTAAAATTGAAATATTATCAGTTGTTTCATTTACAAAACAAATAAAAATATGAAGAAGAAAGCAATCATGATTACTCCCTTGACTCAGCTATTGCAGCAGAGAAATGGGTCTGTTTCTTACTCTAGTGTTCTCTCCAACAGATTCACACCTATTTATTCTTCTGAACACCTTTCCTAATTTGCTCCAGAGAAATCAGTAGACATTATTTTTGTTGACATTCCCAACGTTCTTAAAACAACTAAAAGAATGGGGGCAGGGAAAGGAGCACATCAATGAAATGCAAAAGAAAGGAGACAGTTCTGTTGTTGAGGCCCTAGACAGTAATGATCACTCTGTTGTTACCTGAGTCTTCTTCCCCAGAAGCTATTGTCTTTGAATTTGCACAGCAACAAAGTTTGCTGGCTGAATGACCTGTCTGACATTATCAAGAAGGCCCCCAAAGTCAAGATCCTGAACCTCACCAAAAATGAAATGAGAAGAAATGGCCAGATCAAATTTGGGTTGATGGTAGATGGTAGTGCACATCGGGATGATAGTGAGAAATAGGATCCCCAGCAGACACAGGCCAAGTCGTGGAAATGACCGCACTGGCCAGACCACCCACTCCTGCTCTTCTTTTTCTTCTAGTAGCAGCTTGTGCAAGTACTTCATGGATAGCAGGAATAAAAAACACTCAAGGACTCCTGTAAGTGTTTGATGGAGAAGACTGGGCAAGGTAAAGAGGTATGATGGGAGTGTTCACAGGGGCCAAGAGCCAGGATGTGGCAGCCCTCCCCCAAACTGTGCTTCTCCTCTCCTCCACAGACCAGTAGGGGCAGCTGCTGAAGCACACAAAACATGACATTGTGGACTTCCTCAGTGTGTTGCCCAAAACTCAGCATGACCTCAGCTCCTTCCTGGTGGGCATGTGGTACCAGACAGTTAGCATCTGCTTCCTCCCTTGGACAGGCCCTGAGAGCCAGAGGTGGGTAGGAGGTTAAGGGAGATCCTGAGCACCTAAGCTCTTCCCTTTCATGAATAGATGCTCTACTTTTCTGTAAACAGGGTGCTCAAAGAAGGTGAGCGTCTATAGAGTCTCCTCCCCGAATCCCCCACTGCTCCCTCCCCTTGACTGGGCTCCCTCTCAAAACTCTCCCAGCTTCCCTGACTCCTTTTCTTCCCTTCCTATTCACCATGTCTTCTTCCATTCCCACTCTCCTCCCAAAGAATTACCTATTTTATTTTTAAGTCATAAATTTACTAAAAGTTTAGAAATACTTTCTATAGTGCCAAAAAAAAAGTTAAAATGTGAAAAGCTGGAAGAACATATTTGCTACAATATTGCAGACTTTGTGTTAATAACCCTGTACTAAAGTACTTTTGCTAACCAGGAGAAAGTGTAACAAATATCAAGAGTTAATTTTCCTGAAAAGCAAAATGACTCTATAATAGACATTTGTGTCCAAACTACACGGATTAAAGAAATGAGAATTAAAAGATGTCACAATATTGAAAAAAATCAGTTTGTAGAAAATTATGTGACTTCAAATTCTTAAAAGAATATATATGTATGTTTGGTACTTACACGTATTTTAAGGTAGGTAAATATCTGTCTTGCACATCTAGAAAGTGTGAACTAGGTTGGTAAATAGATTATTTACAGTGAATATCTTTAGGTCATCGTGTGGTGATCATATTGACAGAAGGTGCAGAATGACTTTATTTTCAAAATACACATTTCATAGTGTTTAATATTTTGTAATTAGTAAACTTCAGGGAGAGCAAGGAGCTGGTGATTCTGTAAATAAGTTTTCTCGTGTTCCATGAAGGAATACAATGTAATGTATTAGAAAGAGCCTAAATAGCTAAGTTCTCTGTTTGTAACAATTACGTAGGCCGGAGGACCCGTGATTGGAGCTAACCAATTCTGCAAGAGTATCTCCCTTGGAAACAACTCCCTTGAGTTCCGGCTGGTAGGAAACCTAGAGGGCAGTGAGAATAGTGAACTTAAGTCTCCTCTAGCCCCCAGACGTCTCCTCTCTATGCCTTTGAAGAAGGAATTTCCTGTAAGGACTCCATTTTGTTCACTAACAAAGTGGCTTGGGACTTGCTGTCACCTTCCTTGGCTGCCCTCCTCAAACTTCTGCAACCCCCCAGCTCCAGACCACAAAGATTCTCCTGTGAGGACATTGGTGAAAGGTCACTGCCTTCAGGACACACCATGGGTGAGTTGGTCAGCATGAAGCCTTGGTTCCAGGTCTCCACAGGGCAGGAGGGCCTGAGCCCCCTTCCCACCTCCAATCCAAACCACATGACACCTAGCAGAGTCTCCTTTAAATGGGAAGTAGCAAGAGCCCAAATTCCATCAATTTATTGCCATGTATATTTTGGCTTTGCACTAAAAAATAAATATAGATTTGTTTTATTAACATCTTTATGTTGAACTGAACCATTTATCATTACAAAATATCCCTTCTTCTTCTAGTAATGTTTTACTGAAACTATATTTTTTCTCTTATGAATGGTTATACGAGCTTTCATTTGGTCAGTGTTTTAATGGTGTTTTTTTTGCCTTTTTTTTCAAATATCCTGTGTTTTGTTTTACGTATGTTACTTTTAAGGAGCATTTGGTTAAATTAATTTTTAATCGAGTCTAATGATTTCTGCTTTTTTATTTGAAACCTTCAGTACATTACATATAACATAATTCCACATACAATTTGGCTTAAATATAACATCTTTCTCTTTGCTTTATATCTATTTTCCTGTTCTAATTTTCTCTCTTCCTTTGTAAAATTTTAAATTATTTTTAAATTGTTAATTTTTTTCTCATTTGGCGTGATAATGTGACATTCTTTTGTTATTTTTGTAGTCTACCTTTCAGATTATAACACACATTCTTGCCTTATCACAGTCTAATGTATGTTAGTTCTTTCACAAATCCTTGGACAACACAGATAGCTTCCAATATTTTAACTCTCTTAATGTCCCTCCCAATATACTATTGCGTATAAAATTATTTTTAATTTTTATCTTAAGTTCCAGGGTACATGTGCAGGATGTGCTGGTTTGTTACACAGGTAAATGTGTGCTATGGTGATCTGCTGTACAGATCAACCCATTACCTAGGTATTAAACCCAGCCTGTATTAGCTATTTTTCCCAGTGCTCTCCCTCCCCTAACCCTCCCACCACAGGCCCCTGTGTGTGTTGTTCCCCTTCCTCAACAAACTAATGCAGGAACAGAAAACCAAACAACTGCATGTTCTCCCTTATAAGAGAACTCACTTTGGGAGCTGAACAATGAGAACACATATTTAAATTCTTTAAAGATGTTATCACTGTATTATATAGTAAATATTTATTTAGATTTTCCTACATATTTGCCAATGTCATTATTCTTCATTCCTTCTTGTATTTACATTCCTCAAACTGGGATCATATTTCTTTGAGGATGAGTCTTTAGTTTTGAGTTGACTGGTGACAAATTTGCTTAGCTTTCGTTTGGATTAAAATGTCACAAGCAGGGCCAGGCGCAGTAGCTCACGCCTGTAATCCCAGCACTTTGGGAGGCTGAGGCAGATGGATCACTTGAGGTCAAGGGTTTGACACCAGCCTGACCAACATGGTGAAACCACATCTCTACTAAAAATACAAAAATTAGCTGGGTGTGGTGGCGCGCACCTCTAATCCCAGCTACTTGGGAGACTGACACAGGAGAATCGCTTGAATCTGGGAGATGGAGGTTGCGGTGAGCTGAGTTTGTGTCATTTCATTCCAGCCTGAGAAACAAGAGTGAGACTGTCTCCAGAAAAAAAAAAAAAAAAAACAAAACAGTCACAAGTAGCCTGGAAAACAAGGCAAAACCCCGTCTCTACAAAAAAATAACAAAAATTAATCAGGCATGCTGGCACATGCCTGTAGTCCCAGCTGCAGAGTCTAAGGTGGGAGATTGCCTCAGCCCAGGAGGAGGAGGTTGCAGTGAGCCAACATCATGTCACTGCAGTCCAGCCTAGGTGGCAACAAAGCAAGACCTGTCTCAAAAAAAAAAAAAGTCACATGTATGAAAAAATCTCACTTAAAGTGCTTTTTTCTATTTTCTCACTCTACAACAACCATCAGCACAGAAGACTTCTGTGACCAAATATGTGGGGGAGTTTTCCCCACCCACAAGCAAGCAATCAGTTTTGTAGTAAACACTTGCGGTGTGTCCTCTAATTTAATTTTGATAGTGTCAAAATTCGATTACCTGGAGATAGCATCAGATCCCACAGATTGTGGACTCAGTCCCCAAGATTGACCCCCTCCTTCAGACACCATAAGTGGGAAGTCTGGGCCTTCAGAATTTCTGACTGATGGCCTTCAAGTTGGAGTTCCTATGACCCTCTTTTTGAATTTGATTAATTTGCTAGAATGGCTCACAGAACTCAGGGAAGCACTTATGTTTACTAGCTTATTATAAAGGATATTGCAAATAATACAGACAAAGAGACGTATGGGGCAAGGTACAGGAAAAGGGATGTGGAGCTTCTATGCCCTCCTCAGGTGTGCCACCATCTAGGAATTTTCATGTGTTCATCTATCCAGAAGCTCTCTGAACCCTGTCCTTTGGCTTTTTATACATGCATGACTGATTAATCCATTGGTCATTGGTGACTGACTTATCCTTCAGCCCCTTGAAAGTCCCAGCCCTCTAATACTGCCTTGCTCTTTCCAGTGACCATCCCTCATCCTAAAGCTACTAGGGGCTGCTAGCCTAGCATACAAAAAGACTTCACTGGGCCAGGCGCGGTGGCTCACGCCTGTAATCCCAGCACTTTGGGAGGCCGAGGCGGGTGGATCACGAGGTCAAGAGATCGAGACCATCCTGGTCAACATGGTGAAACCTCGTCTCTACTAAAAATACAAAAAATTAGCAGGGCATGGTGGTGCACGCCTGTAATCCCAGCTACTCGGGAGGCTGAGACAGGAGAATTGCCTGAACCCAGGAGGCAGAGGTTGCGGTGAGCCGAGATGACTCCATTGCACTCCAGCCTGGGTAACAAGAGTGAAACTCTGTCTCAAAAAAAAAAAGTTCACTTTGGAGTTTATAAAAATTTTAGGAATTGTATGCGAGCAAACAGGGTTGAAGATCTAATATATGTTTTGCAATATCACAGATGTTTATTTAACCTCCACTTTGTATCTTTCAAAAAATGGAAGTTAAATAAACACACAATTCTAGGCCTATGGCTATTACACTTTAGCACTCTGAATATGTAACATTACTTTCTTTAAGCTACATTATTTCTGTTTAATAATTATATATTGATCAGCCTTATTTTTGCTCATTTGAAGATAACCTGTTGTTTTCATTTTGCTTTGAATATTTGCTTTTTTCTTTGGATTTCAACAGCTTTACTATGATGCACCTGGGTTTTGTTTTCCTCATACTCCGCTGTACTTGAAATATACATTGCTACTTGCATCTGTGACTTGGCATCTTTTGTTACTTTTTGAAACTGCTCAAACATTATACCTTGAAATAGTGTGTACACACTCTTCTCTTTTCTTCCTTCTAAAACTCAGATTAAACATATTTGATGTATTTACTTTAATTTTGCCCTGTGTCTTTTTGTACCCTTCATCATTTTGTGTATTCGTACTATTCCAAACCCTCTTGTTGTTCAAGGAGATATAAAAGAACTAATGTGCATTAGACTGTGATAAGGCAGAGTGTACATTGCCACCTGAAGGGTAAAGGCAAAAAAAGTACATCTATGATGTTATGCTGTTAATCACATAATTGTTCTTAATTACAGTTATTTCATTTACAGATTCTAGAAATTCTGTTCATTTTTTATATTTTTCAATTCTTGGCTGAAATATAATCTTTTATATCCTTGACAATAATGCCATTATCTGATTGTTCAGATTTTATGTGTTTTTTATTCTCCTTTTCTTTTTGGCTTGCTTGGTTTTTAATCATGTCATTTTATCTCCTTTTTTCACCTATTTTTTTTCAGGGAACTATATATCATAAATTATAGATTTATTTATTTCAGTCCTAAGGTGAAGTTGTCTTGCTTGAGGGAAGATTTTTTTTTTCTGTCAACTTCCTAGGTTGCAAGCAAAACCCAAATCTCTTTAATCCCATTGATTAGTCGAGATTAATTAATCTCGTTGATGACTGAGATTATTAATTTGGACTTCAGTTCCTTCGAGGGCTGGTCTATTTCCAGTTTACCCATATTTACTTAACATAGCTCTTAGAGGTTCCTATCTAAGCCTGAGTGGTTTGCCAAAGTCCCCTCTCCTTAACATGCCCAACTTCAAATTTTATGCTCTTAGCTCTATGACTGTGTAGGAATTTGGCAAAAATTCACAGCATTTTAGCATCTTACCTACATCCTTAGGAATCATCAACTGCTACTAGAAAAAAATCAGCCCCAAGGATTAGGATTACATTCTGAGTTTCCTTTTTCCCCTGGTGTTTCCCCCATAACAACTTACTGTATCATTAGCTTTTTGATACCTTTAAATAATCTTTATTTTAAATGATTTTCCACACTTTTCTAGTTATTCTCAGTTGGAAGTTTGGTACAACTTAACTAATCTCTCCTTACTGGAAGAAAAACTCTAAATTTATTTTTTCAAATGCTGAGTTTGGTATAGTTCTTCTTATTATCCTCATTGTTATCTTCTTTACTGTGGCTTCTCTCTAATGTTTAGAAGATAATGCCACAGGAATGGGTAAATGCATGTAATATGCTTTCCATGAAGTTTTCAAGATGGACGTATATAGCTAGCATGGATTCAGTATATCAGAAGCTTTTTCTCATTTATCGTATTGCCATTGCTCATCGTCATCTTATGCTTCCATCCTTGATTGTTTGCCTCTTGTTTATGAGAACATCAGGTCTCTCAGGCTCAACTACTCTCTGATATCTCAGCCATTACCCTGATAATAAATTCTGGATCCTTCTCTTCCAGCCATCCTCCTAATTATGAATATATACATTGAGGCAATGTTTTTCAAATATAAACTTTAAAAGGGTAATTTTTGTATCAATGTATACAAATTTTCAAAATGGTTCGTGAACTGGTGAGAATATAAGCTGATTCACTCACTCTTTATTAGCATGCAAATAAGTATAAATATATATTTTAAATGCCACTTCTAAAAATCTCTTAAATTTGAAAGCATTCATGTTTTGATCAAAGTAATCCACTTATAGAATTATTGCATGACAAACTATAAACAAATAATAGAAGGTATACCTAATCCTATTCTTAGTAGCATTGTTTATAGTAGCAAAAACTTGAAGGATTTATTAAAATTTGAAATTTTATTAGTAGATTAAAGTTTGTAACAAATTTTAACTAAAATAATAATCTAATGTATAAATTATATTAAAGTCAGAAATTTTTATTTAGACATTTTAGAAAATATGAAAAATATAAATTTTGGACTAATCATATTTATTCTTTCCTGAGCTTCCAGCTCAATGAGATTCAACCATCAGTTCTTACTCTGGTAAACAGGTGACCTTAGTTTTAATTTCCACAAAGTCTGTAAAGGAAAGCATATTACTTTGATAAATAATAAAAATCAATTAAATATTATTTCTGAACATGCAATGATGTAAAATGTTAACTGAAAAGAGCAGGTTACAGATATTTTTACAATATGATTGAAGTTTGTTAAAAGATTTTTGAGCAGCGGAATGAGAAGATTTGACTTATGCTTTAAGGAAATCACTCTCCCTGCTATGATGAAAATGTATGGTGAGGAAGCAAGTATAAAAGCAGAGGGACAAGTTGGAAGGCAATGTAATCCTGGAGATAGATGTTGGTGACCTTGCCAGGGTAGTAGCAATGGAGGGAATGAAAAGGGGCCAGACTCTGGATATATTGTAAAGGTAGAGTCCAGAGAATTTCTTGATCAGTTGAATGTGAATTATGAGAAAAAGAGAGCATTCCAAGCTATCATCAAATTTTAGGGACTGAATATTTCTGGATCAAATGCTCTACTTATATTTAATGTCACTTCCGATGCCTTACAAGAAAGGTCCCAAAGGTTGTGAGTAACAAGACTATCTTGACCATGGGTCACACAGTGAAAGCAATGACTTTCCAGAGGAGTTCATCTGAGGCCTGGTCGTAACAATTATATTGTAAATGGATCAGGAGTGAACAGAATGTTTACTCACAAGTAGGTGCTGAGATAACATGGAGTAATTAATATATAATATGTATAAAATACAAATCTATGGATGAGCACAGTGGCTCATGCCTATAATCCCAGAAGTTTGGGAGACTGAGGCAGGAGGATTTCTTGAGCTTAGGAGTTCGAAATCAGCCTGGGCAACATGTTGAGACCCCATGTCTACCAAAAAATTTTTTTAAAATAGCCTAGCATGGTGGTGTGCACCTATAGTCCCAGCTATTTGGGAGGCTGGGGTGGGAAGATTCACTGGAGCCTGAGGGGTGGAAGTTGCAGTGAGCCAAGATCATACCTCTGCACTCCAGCCTAGGTGACAGAGTAAGACCATGTCTCAATAAAATATATATAAATTAAATTAAATACAAACCTAGAGAACATTACATTTAGATGCCAAAAGGAAGCTCGCTTCAAATAGTCTAATATCCTTAATCTCCACCTTCAAAACCACTAGTATTATTATTGTTGCTGTTGAATGTGATAAAAATAAAATATCCTTCATCAGTATGCTTATGGGAAAGAGAACTGATACTATCTTATTTTTGTAGCTGTAAATTAAACTTCCAAATCTTGCCACATGGTTAATTGAACATGTTGATGGGGAATATGGAGGGTGAACAAGGAAATTCCTAGGCGTAAATACATTGTGAAATATAACTGAAACACATAATAAGCATACCTGAGTCCACAATATTTGATAAAGTAGACTTGCTAGCAAAGAAAATCTGTAGAAACAAAAATGATATTACATAATGATAAAAGGATCAATCCACCAGGAAGATGGAATAATCCTGGGTACACACCCAAACAGCAGAGGCTGAAAATACATGAAACAAATACTGATGGAGCTAAAATAGCCAAGTTCACAAGTATCACTGGGGCCTTCAACATCCCCAACAACAGCAGAGCATACTTTTTTCCACATATCTTACAACATTCATGATAAACTATGTTCACAGAGACAGACCATGTCCTGGGCCATCAAACAAACCTCAGAAAATTTAAAAGAATGAAAGTCATACAGATTATTCTCTCTGACCACAGAAAAATCTCTAAGCACTTGGAAATTGTAGTTGACACCTATCATTTCTGATCATTGTTCAACTCCTTGTTATAGAAGAGGTTAGAAGCATTGTCTTCTCAGCTGAAAGGCATTTCAGGCTCAGCAAAAAGACAGCTCACTCTGTGTATTTCAAAAAGAGTACTGTTGAAGGCAAGGCTGGAGGCAAAGAGACAGTTTAGTAGGATGATACATCAATCTACTCTGTCATGAAAGGTTGCATTAGAAGAGACAAGTACAGCTTGCTGATTATTAATAAAATCAATTTCATGGCTGATTGCATTTGGGAGGTGTGAGAGAGGTTGCCAATCATGTGTTGGTGAGATTGTTAAACTGCAGAGGCACAAGAGAAGGCAAGATTTGGATCCTTCCTGGGGTGTGGTTGATGTCCTGTCTAATCTATGAACATTCACACTTCTGTTCTTTATAAATTCTGCTCCGTTTTCCAAATGGTTCCATACAGTTACCTCCTCCTTTAAGATTTCTTCCCTAATTATGTCATCTGTAAGAAAAGGCCCTCCTATCTGGACAGGTAGAGGAGTTTGCTTTCTGGGGGTTGTGTTACTGCTCAATTAGGGCAAGCTGGCACTTTGCTTGCCCTACTATGGTGTTAGGCCAAGAAATGGTAAATGGTATGTGACCACTGATGTGTCTTCAAATTTGTATTTTTGTTCCAAATTTCAGAACACAGTGATGGTAACAGCTCTCCTCAAGGAGAAAATAAAGGCAGAGATTCTTCCCAGGATAATTTTGGAAACGAGAACCTTCATGATGAACACGATGGGTATGAGCTCCCACCTCCCCACCTTCAGGAGGATGATGAAAATGTGGAGGTGAGGGATGTCCACGAGGACCCCCAAGTAAGAAAGTAAGTGATCAGGCAGGCTGGTTCACACATAGCAGCCCCTGGAACTTTGTATTTCTTTTGCTCTCTGTAGTCTTCTTTTTTTCCTCTCGTTGAAAAACTGAGGAATGCTAGAAGTGAAGTAATGGCTGAGAAATCCTAATTGCAGACCTGGTTTTTAGTGAGTTTAGGGTGTATGAAAAACTATGTCACATTTCTGTGCATTTCTATATATTTATAGACATATATTTTTATCCATTTCCCTATAGCAACCCCTGTACCTTACAACCCAATAGTAGGACTGTGAAATGCCATAGTGAATACCAAGATAAAATTTCTCCAGAGAGAGAAGTGGAGAAGAACACAGAGAATGGAGACCCGGGGACCTGGTTCAAGGTCACAGTGAGTGTCCTGAGAAAATGACAAAAAAATATGCAGGAAAGGCGGGTCAGGGAGAGTTGTGTTAATCACGTGTAAAAATACTAGATATTGGCAGGGCGCAGTGGCTCATGTCTGTAATCCCAACACTTTGGGAGACCGAGGTGGGCAGATCACTGGAGGTCAGAAATTCACCACCAGCTTGACCAACATGGTAAAATCCTGTCTACTAAAAATACAAAAATTAGCCAGGTGTGGTGGCACATGTCTGTAATCCCAGCTACGCAGGAGGCTGAGGCAGCAGAATCGCTTGAATCTGGGAGATGGAGGTTGCAGTGAGCAGAGATTGCACCATTGCCCTCCAGCCTGGGCAACAAAAGCAAAAATCTGTGAAAAAAAGACAGAAAGACAAAGGGAGGGAGAGAGGGAGGAAGGGAGGGTGGGAGGGAAGGAAGGAAGGAGGGAGGGAGGGAGGGAGGGAGGGAGGAAAGGAGGGAGGGAGGGAGGAAAGGAGGGAGGAAAGGAGGGAGGGAGGGAGGAAAGGAGGGAGGGAGGGAGGGAGGGAGGAAAGGAGGGAGGGAGGGAGGAAAGGAGGGAGGGAGGGAAAGAAAGAAAGAGAGAAAGAAAGAAAGACTAGATATTTTTTTCAGAGGACAGGGGGAGTTAACATCTAAGGGCAGGTTCAGAAAAACAATGTAAAGTGAACAGGCTGACTGCAAGAGGGCACAAGAGATTGTCTAAAACAAAGGTGGAAACTACTGCCAAGAAGATGGAGCAGCTCTCCACCAGATGCCTCATGGCTCAAGCTGAGTGTAGTGGTGTTGAGTTTCTGGAGTTCTTGTCAGAGATGCAGGCTGGGTCTTCAATAGGTAGAATCTCCTAGCACCTTAGAAAAAGATCATTGAGAGCATCTGAATTTTATTATCTTGGGTGTAAATTTGGAATAAAGAGTAAAGACAACAACTAGGAATTCCATGTCTGGCAAAAAAATAAAAAGTTGAAATTATGTTAATGGTTCCTGTCTTAGAAGTCTTTTGAAGCTCCACTAGAAGGTTAGAATAACCTTAGTTGGGTTTACTTTCCAGGCTTAGTTCCATGTTGTCTCTCTTCTCTCCCATCTCTTCTTTTCACCGTTAGATTCCTTGTGGGATAAAGTATGATAAGACATGGATAGTGAATTCAATCCAGAGTCATTGCAATGTCGCCTTCACTCCAGTCAATGTAAGAGAATATGGTGAATCCAGATGAGTGGGCACAGGGGGGGAGAGGCCAAACTCAGAAGGGACCACTGGCCTCTGACACTGTTACTCTTGCCTTCACTTCCTGTAGTTCCACTACAACAAAAATCGGGCCCACTTCTTTGTCCAGGATGTTCATGCTGCCTGTGCATTAAAGAAAGTCAACTGTAAGATTCATGATGAGGAAAACCAAAAGGTATATGTCAACAATATTCCTGATATGTAATCTCTGGAAAGGAGGACAGGCCATGGACTAGCCATTGTCTTTTTGAGATTAGAAGTCCTGGTGTCACCTTGCCTCATCTTGTTGCAGGTATTTGTTTTTGTCGATCTTTCTACTGACCCCAGGTCTATGCAGAAAAAGATGAAACCAAAAGTGATGACACAGCTAAAGGTAGTACAGACTCAAGGCACCTCTTCTTCCCCCACCCCTATATTTCCCTGTCACCACCACCAGAGCCTCAGAGCTTCTTTCTTCATCTCTACCTCTGCAGCTGACCATGAAGAAACGATATGATGTCTCCCAGCAAGCTCTTGATCTCCAGAGTTTCTGCTTTGACCCAGGTATGGCTGACAGCAACAATTCTAAGGCAAGTAGGGGCAGAGCAGTCTGCCTGGGAGGGAGACTTAGAGATGGCAACTTTGGGAGGGGTTGATGCTGGTGCTGATCTAGCTGGGCCCTCCCAGCCTTCTGATTCCCTTCTCTTGGCTTCCTGAAGACTTGGTGAAACATCATTTTGATATAAGCCTGAATAGAAGAAACGACATGACTGCCATTCTGAAGATCATTTCAACAAATTTTCCTGAGGTGAGGCCCAGTGCTACTATTTAATTAGAGGGGTGGAAGAGATGGGGTTAAAGGCAGATTTGTCTCCACGGCTCAAGATACTATCCATCACTCTAACTGTTCTTACCCAATAGCTACTGTCTTTGAACTTGTGCAACAACAAACTGTACCAGCTGGATAGCCTGTCTGACATTACAGAGAAGGCCCCCAAAGTCAAGATCCTGAACCTCTCCAAAAATGAGGTGAGAAGAGGGAGCCAGATCAACTTGGGTGGAGGGTGAATGACAGTATACATCAGGATGATGGCAACAGGCAGGCAGAGGTGTCTGGTGTCTGTAGGTGACTGTGAGGGTTGGGGGAATTTGGGGCCCAGGGTCCCAGGTGTCTGTCTTTCCCTGGCCCTCCTACAGTTTTCTCCCCATCTTTCTTAGCTGAAGTCGGTGTGGGAGTTGGACAAGGTGAAAGGGCTGAAGCTTGAAGAGCTGTGGCTAGAAGAGAACCCCTTATGCAGCACCTTCTCTGACCAGTCCACCTATGTAAGGTCAGTGGCAACCCCTGTCGCCCTTCCTGGGCACCTTTGCTCCCTGAATGACTGAGCTATATCTGAAAGTGCCCTTCTGCAGGGAGAGGCAGCCTTGGTCCTCTGGGAGGACCACAGACCTCCTCCCCTCCTACACACACACACACACACACACACACACACACTCCTCTCTTGGTGTCACTTACTCATCTGTGCTTAGCAGTCTCCTTTCCTTCCTCTGGCATGCTCCCCTTTTCATCTGCTCTGTGGTGTTTCCCACTTGTCTCCGCCCAGCCTCCTCCAGCACACCTTCTGTGAGTGTGCTCCAGGGAGCAGGGCTCACCCACCTCCCCAGGACCAGCAATATTCTGATGCTGGTGCCTTGGACCAAGAAGAGTCTCCCAGCCCAGGTCTTCCTGCCTCCATGCTGAGACAGGGTTTCCCTCCCAAGTCCCGAGGGGGATTCTCCTTCTCATGCTCCAAAAAGGTCCCTGCACCTGTCCTGGGCTGGCATGGGGGCTTCTCTGCCCCATGCTGAGGGCTGAGGCCCTGGGTGGCTGCTATTATGCCATTTCTTCCTCTGACCCAATGCCAGGAGCTGGGCCCTCCTTGGGGAGAAACCTGGGTTTTCTGAGTCAGGGAACCATAAGTGGGTCACCTTCTTGAGGCAGTGGGCAGAGGAGATTGAGGAGACAGAAGGACAGGCCTCTCAGGGCACTGCCCCTCCTTCCATCCACACCTCATATCATCTTGCCTGGTGCCTCAGAGGAGCCCTGGGTAGCCAGGACAGAGGGGCACAGGTGCCAGGGACCATCAGAAGAGAATGCAGTGGTTGTGATAGGGGGTCCCCAGACTCTGAACCCCATGCTGAGCTGGGGCCTGACCCTTCACTCCTCCTGGAAGAAGGTCTCCTGTCCCCGTGGCTGCTCTGTCTCCCATGCCCAGCTCAGACTGAGCTCACACAGGTGAGAAAGGCTCCAGCTGCATCCAGTGGGCCCCAGCCCAATAGGTACATGTTTTCCTTTCCTGCCTCAGTCCCCAGGGCCAGCCAGGGGGCGGTGAGGGAAAGGGCTGCAGCAGGGGAGCCCTTTTCTCCTCTCTTCCTCCCTGAAGTCCACCCCCACAGTAGAGCATCTTTCCCTTCCCTTTGCTTTGCATCCTGCTTCTCCTTTGTCTCTCATCTCCTATGTCTCCCCCATGTCTCCCACCTTTCACTCCGTTTCTGTTGTCAACCCCCCTGCCTTCCCCTTCTTGCCTCCTGAGTGCAGCCTCACTCACCTCGCTTTCCCAGCATCCTGGGCCGTCCCTAAGGGCTGACTTGCTCTTGGCCAGGGCCTGGATAGGCAGGTTGATGGATAGCCAATGAGGTAGCAGAGCACTGAGCTCCCACCCCATTTCCTGCTCCCACCCCATTTCCTGCTCCCTGTGGAGCCTTCCCTGGGGATTTGGACAAAGGTGAGTAAGGGAGGATGGGAGGGAGGGAGGGAGGGAGGGAGGGAGGGAGGGAGGGAGGGAGGGAGAGAGGAAAGGGAAGAAACCTCTGGAGCTCCCAATGCTGCTGCTTGTGGCACTGGAGAAAGGAGAGTCAGGGCAGTCTAGGTGGAAGCTAACCACGAGAAAGGAGAGGGAGAGGGAGAGGGGGACGAGAGGGAGGAAAGAGGCTATGCAACCCTAAACTGTCAGTCACTTTATTCTATTTTTGGTTATGGACAGTACCATCCTGGAATGTTTCCCAGAGTTGTTACGCCTGGTAAGTATTTACCATCATCACTGTCTCCTCTTACTCAAGTACATGACCTCCATGCCTACCCTCAAGTCCTTTGGGTCTTGCCTAAATTAAATGTTTTTATCAGACCCTCATCCATTTTAGAGGCAAAGATTCCTGAAAGAAAACAAGAATATTCTCCCTGGAATAAAATGTCCATAAACACACACACACACACACACACACACTCACACTCATTAATTCACACAAAAATTGCATCTAATAATAGAGGCTTCCAAGACCCACTGTTGAAGACTCCAGCTGTTGTCTTGCTGAGAGAATTTTGAGGGAGCCATTTCACACCTCACCTCTGATCCTCGTTCCCTCTGGGCTTGTTTATCTCCTCACTCATCCAGCTCTACCTCCCTGGTATGCACTGCTGACTACTTCTTTCCTTTCTCAGGATGGCCAGGATTTAGCATCTCCAATTATAATGGGCATTGAAGCCCCTGAGATAATAAAACCTTGTAAGGTAAGGAGGGACCATCAAGATTTGAGGTATTGTAAGGGATGTTTTTAAAACCACATAGCTTCAAGGCGTCTTTTGATTCCAGGAAAGCTATAAAGGATCTGAGATCATAAAGAATCTGATACTTCAGTTCCTGCTTCAGTAAGTACCCCAAAATCATGAGTCAGGGGAAGGTTGAGACAAGACAGGCCCCCCAGGCAAATGTCTATTCATGTGTTTAGGGGGTCTTCAAGTCTCATTTGGGGCCCAGGCCTCAGAAATAGCCTATCCCCACTTCTCTTTCACAGGTATTACTTGATCTATGACTCTGAAGATAGAAAGGGTCTCCTTAGTGTTTACCATGACAAGGCCTGCTTCTCCCTGAGCATTCCCCTCAACCCTGAGGACCCAGCACCGTGAGTATCTCAGCTCTGACTCTGGTCTGGGGCCATGTGGCTTCCTTGCAAAGGGCAATTCCTGGAAACGTCTGCATTGGCTGTACCACCCACTCCTGTTCCTCTTTTTCTCCTAGAAGCAACTTGGAAAAGTACTTAAAGGACAGCAGGAATATAAAGAATATCAAGGACTCTCGTGAGCGTGTGGTGGGGGAAGATCAGCATGGGAAATGGGGTGGGGAGTCAATAATAGGGTACGGGGGCAGGATGTGGCAGCCCCCATTGCTTCACTTTCTCACACAGGCCTGAGGGTTCAGCTGCTGAAGCACACAAAACATGAGATTGTGGACTCCCTCAGTGTATTGCCCAGAACTCAGCATGACCTTAACTCCTATGTGGTAGACTTGTGCATCCAGACGGTGAGCACCTGCTTACTTCCTCAGTCAGGCCCAGAGAGGTGAAGCAGGTAGGAAGTAGGGAGGTAGGTAGGATGATGAAGGCTCTAGTTTTTTCTTCTTCCCTTTCAGGAAAGGATGCTCTTCTTTTCTGTCAATGGAGTATTTAAGGAAGGTGAGTGTTTATAGATTCTCCTCTCCAGATCACTCATTACTCCCATCCCCAGGCTGGGCTTACTCTGAGAACTCTCTCAGCTTCCCAGGTTGCTCTTCTCCCCTCCCCTTGCATTCTTCTTCTCCATTTGTGGTCTTCCTCTCCTCCCAACTTTCTGTTATCTTTGTGCTCTTTCCTTTTGTTCCCTTCCCTTTATGTTCTTCCTCTCTCCCAAGTTTTGTTCCCAAACGTCATTACTTCCTGATCTACATCCATGCCTGTCTGCACCTGGACAGCTCAGCCGTTAGGGTCACAGGCTGTAGAGTTTAATGGCTCTCATCCCAGGTTCTTTGCAAACTTTGGACATTGTCCTGTTACCTAATCCCTCAGTTTCCTCATTTGCAAAATGGGTTTGTAAGGTCATCTCTTGGGCAAATGTGTAAAATGAATCAAGTGAACCTATGTTTGTCAAGAGACCTGACACATGTTAGGGGGTTCTATCCCTGGGAGCCAATTGTTCCTACTGTTGCCCTCTAAATCCCTGAAACCCCCTCCTGACTCTCACTGAAAAGTTGTCCCAGCCTGGCTCCCTTCAGGATACCACAAGATTATCTCCCTGACTGGAGAACCCAGTGTGAATGTGTAAAGCATGTGCAACTGTAAGGAGGTATCATTGTTTGTTGTTGTTAAAGTGGAAGGAGAGTCTCCAGGTTCTGTTCTTGCCTTCACCCGAACCTTCATCTTGACTTCTTTCAGCAATTCCAAGTAAGTGCTGTGTTTTGGCTGGGAGCACCCATCCTGTCCTAGAGTCAGTGGTGTGGGAATGTGGTGGTGTAGTCCTCGGGGAGTTCTCAGTACCATGTAAAGCCAACTGATAGATCCAAAGAGAGGTCTAGATTAGGAGAATACCAGATTTTCTTTTTGGCCACAATACTTACTAATTAGTTGTGTGTCTTTTCATACAGTCATAAGATTTCTCTGTGACTCAGTCCTTTTCTGAAAATGGGATGTCTACTTATTTTGTAAACTGTAAATGCATTGGGGTTAAATCTACAAATCTAGGGAAACTGGTAGACAACCTCTCCAAAGGTAGACTCTGCAGCAGGGATAAAGCCTACCAGCCAAGGAATCTGAAAGGTGGGCAGAGTAGGTGCTTGGAAGTAATATGCTTCCTCAGTGGTAGTGGAAGCAGGATCATTGTTGAAAGTGTGGGGTTGTTTATTTTTCCAGTTGTCTGAGGGCTTATCTTTTCTTCAGTCTGTATATTGTGAATGACGAGCTGATACTGAGGAATGCCAGCATGAAAGAGACCCAGAGTGCCTTCTCCATCCCATTGCCTGCACCCTTCTCCAGCTCCTTGCCCACCCTCTCCCAGGAGAAGCAAGAAACGATGCATACTGTCTCCACCCAGTCTGGGATGAACCTTGAGCAGTCTCAGAAGTGAGTGCTGGGAGTCTTTCAGGATAGATGTGAACTGGGAAGAGTGGGGAGTGAAAAATGGAAACTTTCAGTTAATTTGTAAAAAAACTATTTAGATGTTGTGCTTCCAAAACTGAGCGGGCTCATAAAGTATATATATTAATTGATAGTGATGATGAAATTAATTTTTAAACAATATAGTGTTCAGATCACATGACATGATGTTGTATATATAAAATCCTATGTAAACAACACAAAAATCTATTAAAATTAATAAATAAGTTCTGCATTGTTTGAGAATACAAAATCAATATACAAAAGCCAATTGTATTACTATATACCTGTAATAAAAAATAAGAAAATAAAATTAAGAAAACAATTCCACGTACAATAGGATAAAAATAACATAGGAACAAATTTAACAAAAAAATCTAAAACATTTACTTTGAAATCTGCAGTATATTATAGAAAGAAATTAAGGAAGACCTAAATAAATGGAATGGCATCCCATGTCCCTGGATTGGAAGACTTAATATTGTTAAAATGGCAATACTCTCCAAATTTATTTATAGATTCAATGCAAATGCAATCCATATCAAAATCCCAGCTGGCTTCTTTGTGGAAATTTAGAGGTTAACACTACCATTGAAATGAAAATACAATGAATGCAGAATAAAAAATAATTTTGAAAAAGAATAAAGTTGGAGGACCCACTACAAAGTTACTGCAGTCTTACTACAAAGCTACAATAATCAATCCATATTAAGTGATACAGATCTAGGAATAGACATATAGATCAATGCAATAAAACGAGAGTCCAAAATAAAACAAAATCCTTACCTTTATGGTCAATTGATTTTCAACCGGAGTGCCAAAAAAAAAAAAGCCAGTGGATAAAGAATAGCCTTTTCACAACTGGTGCAGGCACAACTGGATATCCACTCACAAACAATGAATTTGTACCCCTATCTTATGCCGTATACAAAAAAATAAATCAACATAGTCAAAGGCCTAAAAGTTAGAACTAAAACTATAAAAATCTTAGAAGGAAACAAAAGAGTGAATCTTTGTGACCTTGAATTAGGCAATGGTTTCTGACATATAACAACACACACATACACACACAAAATTAGATAAAGTGGATTTCTTCAAAATTTAAAACTTGTTTTGCACCAAAAGACACTATCAATAAAGTGAAAAGACAAGAATCAGAGAAAATATTTGCCTATTATACACCTGATAAGGGACTTGTATTCAGAATATATAAAGAACTCTTAGAATTCAACCATAAAAATGAAAATAACCCAATTAAAATAGGAAAGAATCCAAACAGATATTTCTCCAAAAAAAAAAAAAAGTATCCAAAAGCACATGGAAAGATACTAAACATCATTAGTCATCTGGAAAATGCAAATCTAAATCACACTGAGGTATCACTTCACACACAGCAGGATGGCTACCATTTTTTGAAAATGAAAAAAAAAGTGTTGATGGGGGGAAACAATAGGTAGAGTTTCATTTAAAGATAGAAAATTACAGCTACATAGGAGGAATAAGTTCCACTGTTTTACAGCATTGTAGAATGACTATAGTTAATAATATGTAGTTTCAAATAGCTAGGAGGACACTAAATGTTCCCAAAACAAAGATAAATATTTAAGATGATGGATATGCTAATTACATTCATCTGTTTACTGTACATTGCATGTATTGAAGCATCATTATGTACCCCATAAATATGTACAATTATGTGTCAATTAAAAATTAATTTATTTTTAAATCTTGACAAAGATGTGGATAAAATGCAACCCTCATACATTGCTGGTAAGAATGGAAAATGATGCAGCCACTGTGGAAAATAGTTTGGCAGTTCCTCAAAATGGCAAATATGGAATTTCTGTATGACAGAGCAATTACACCAAGAGAGATGAAAACTTATGTTCACACAAAAACTTGAACATGAGTGTTTATAGCAGAATTATTCATAATAGTCAAAAATGGAAACAATCCAAATATTCATCAATTTATGAAGATAAATCAAATGTGATATGTTCATATAATGAAATATTACTCAGCAATAAAATAGAATGAGGTTGTGATACATGCTATAACATGGATGACCCTTGAAAATATTATGCTAAGTCAGTTGGGCACGGTGGCTAACGCCTGTAATCCCAGCACTTTGGGAGGCCGAGGTGGGTGGATCACCTGAGGTCAAGAGTTCAAGAAAATAATATGCTAAGTGAAAGCAGCCAATCACAAAAGACTACATGTTGTACAAGTCCGTTTATATAAAATGCCCAGATAGGCAAATCCACAGAGACAGGTAACAGATTAATGGTAACCAGGGTCTGGGCAAAAAGGGGAATGAAGAGTGACCTCTAACAGGTAAGGAGTATTTTTTTTAAGGTGGTGAAAATGTTTTGGGTAGATAAAATTGGAATGGTTGCACAATCTTGTAAATATACTAGAAAAAATATTGAATTATACACCTTAAAATGGTGAATGCTGTCTTATATCACAATTTAAAAATTAGTGGATAATTTTCATTTTTGAATTTCTATTTGTTATTTCTTGAACATCTTTTTTTGTCAATATGTATTAAACTCTTGTTCATTTGAACAACCCTGTTTTTCTGCTTTGAATTCTAGTGGGCATGAATGTCAGCAACTGGCATTTTAGTTTTCCCTACAATGGTGCTCATATTGGTACATGTGTCCCAGCAAAAAGTAGCATAGTCAGCGTGTCAGAGATCACTTGTTCTTCTCCCATAGGTGTCTTCAGGACAGTGAGTAGAACTACACCAAAGCTGACCAGGTTTTCACTATGATCCAGGTGAGATCTGAGAATCAAGTGGACAAAACATGGATGTTTCCAGAAAGGCCAGAAAATTGTAGCCCAGGTAGTCTGAGTATGGAACCCAGAGCATCTGGCTCATTGGACAACCCGACTTCTTTTCTTTACTTCCTCTAGGCCAAGAGCAAGATCCCAGTAGAAGTCCTCAAGCAAATCCGCTAAAAGGAGCCCTTTGATGTCTTCTTTGTCTTCATTGACATCTGCTTTGTTTCCTTTTTTCACCAGCCTAAGACCATGCCCAGGATTGGGGTTGGAGGCCTGGCCGACCAGAATGCCAAAGTTAACTTGCCGGGCGAGTGACATAACAACTCAAAGAGCCAGTTTTTCTGTGTATTCACCCCACTCATGATCACCATTATTTTCATAATAAAGAGTTACATGTTGTACACTGTGTGTCCTGGATTGCTCTTCCCCTAACCATGAGCTAGCGGGGCCAGGACTGAAAGGCCCTGCATCCCTGTTCATCCCTGGCTCGCCTTAGCAGATATATTGATAGGGCTTGCCTTCATACGTAATTTGTCAATAAATCCTGATGAGAAAGGACACATGCTCCTTCCAGAGATTGGCCTTGGCCTTGAGAGACAGTGGAACTCTGTCAGATGCTCGACCTGGAGCCCAACAGAAGCAGGCTTGTTACCTTGGCACACCAGGGGCTTCCATCCACTGTCCCAACCCCTCCCTTTCTTGAAGGTGCACTATGCTAGAAGGAGCCTCAGGTTACCACCTTCAGGGGAGGCTCAGCCCATCTGCCCAGCTCATTCCTCAGAGAGCTGATACTTGGTGCTCCATATTCTTGAAGAGGTTCAGCCATTTTTTTTTCACTTCTAAACAAAGAACAGCAGCACAGAATCTCAGGTTATGGTCATTTTGGTAAGACCTTTCTCAACAACTGGCATTTAGCAGTTCCAAATTGCAGGCAAGAGTTGAAGAATATATTTGCACAATTTATTGCCCACACTTCTGTAATGACTTCACGTTAGACAATCAGCAGGCATACTTTTTGAAATTAAAATAATAGCAGTACAACGTTTTCAATTCACAATCCTACAAATGATAAAGTAGGAGAGGTAATACCAGTTTACAAATTATGCCTCCACTTTCGTGTTTGGCATTTGTTATTTCCTACGACAATCCTAATTGTAGCATAAGACCACAAGGAATTGTGGGAACCGGCAGGAGGATGAGTGACTGGAAAACCATGGTGTCCAAGCTCACTAGGAAAGGAGGTTAAGGCTGTGGTAGCTTGATGATGTACAGAGAGGAAGTAGAGGGGCCATGTGATAGGTTCCATGATTTCCTGCCCATGAAGGAACCCAGGCAGCTCTGAGAGCCTGAGCTGAACAGACACTGTGGTTGATGAGTAGCATGTGAGACCATGTCTAGTCCCCACAATGAGGCTGAGGTTCATCCATGTTATACCATGTATACACATTTTTACTGCTGAATAGTGTTTCATTATGTGGACATACCACATTTGTTTATTCATTCACCAGTTAATAGATATTTGGATTGTTTCCAATGTGGAAGCGTAATCATGCTGTTGTAAACATTCATGTAACAGTCTTTGGGTGGACATAAGTTTTTATTTTTCTTGGGTAGATTCCTAGCAGTAGTATTCCTAGTAGTAGTATATAAACATACAGCAAATTAATATTTAACTTTTATCTTTTCATTCGTTCTGTTTTTAAGTATAAAAATAATTTCATAACAAAACTAGTATCTAGTTATCTTATTTTGGATTTTTGAAAACTTTCTAATGAAGTTAACACTATTCACATTTGTTAAATTGTTATAATTTCTCTTTAGTGAATTGTTTTTTCACATCCTTTCTCTATTGCAGTCTTTATATTTTAATTATCAATCTATATTAGCTGGTTATGCTGATCATTTTTATTGTTTTTCTCAGTTTTTTTGCCTTTTAAATTTGCTTCTATTAATGATGTTATGGAAGAATTGTAAAGAAATGGTAATATTTACATTTATGATGCTTTTTCACTTCTTTTTAGAAATTTTTCATCCCTATAAACATTTGATAATATTCACTGTTAATTACAGGCTTTTATCAATTACATTTTAAAATTTTAACTCTTAAAATTTAATTGGTGTGTGTTTAATGAAATGTCATAAGCCAAGGGTTATAAACAGAAGTACTCACCTCCTAAAAATAATCAGTTGGCCAGAATCATTTATGGAATAATTATGTATTTTAATATTTGAATATAAGTCTCTTCAAATAATTTTTAAAATTTTACCCCTTAAGAAACTTACAAGCTGTTTTCCAATGTGGCTGTACAAATTTATATTTCATCCAGTAATATTTAAAGTTTCCAGTTTCTTCATAATCTCATATTTGCTATTGTCTGTCTTTAATTTACTGCCATTTTAGTGAGCAGGAAGTTAAAACTCATTTTTGTTTTAATTTGCATTTCCCCAGTGTTTAGTGATCTTGAACATCTTTTCACCTATATCTTCTTTCATAAAATGCTTATTCAAATCTTTTGCCCTTTTTATTTGGATTATTTGTCTTTGTGTTATTCAGCTGTGGACAATCTTTTAATATTATTATTTCATTAGATATAAAATTTGCAGACATTTTATCCCAGTGTGGGGTATGTCTTTCATTTCCTTAATAGTATTTTGAAGTGTAAAAGTTTTTTATATTGATTAAGTACAATTTATCATATTTTTAAATGGCTTATGGTTTTAGTGTTATTCCTGAGAAATATTTGCTTAATTCAAGGTTACAAAAATTTTCTCCTATATTTCATTCTAAAAGTATTGTAGTTTTAGTTCATACATTTAGGTCTATCATCCATTATGAGGTCATTACTGTGTATGGTTTGCAAGGGAAGGGTGTAAGTTTATCTTTTTGCATGTGGAATTTCTATTGTGCCAGCACCATTTATTTTAAAAATGTATATTCTTTAAATGTCCTGGCACTATTATTACAATTAATTGACTGTAAATATAGAAGTTTATTTGTGGATTTTCAATTCTGATCTATTGATATACATATCTGTGCTTATGCCAGTATCATACTGACATAACTATAGCATCATAGTAAGTTTTGAAATCAGGAAGTGTACGTCCTTCAACTTTGCTCTTCTTTTTCCAGGATTGTTTTGGCTATTTTGAGAACTTTGCCCTGTCATAAACATTTTAGAATCAGCTTTTCAGGTTTTTGTTTTTCTTTTCTTTTCTTTCTTTTTTTTCAGAAACACCTGCTGAAATTTTGATAGGGATTGCATTGGATCTGTAAATCAATTTGGGGAATATTGCCACATCTTTTGATTCATGAGCATTAGCTGTCTGTATTCATCTGTCTCTCCAGTTTTGGGGCCAAGAAGTTCGTCCTGTGATTTAAATTCCCTGATGCATATGAGCAAAGTTGTTGATTTTTCAGTTTGTTCACCCATTTTCCTTGTTATAAGGACAAGAGTGGTAACTTTCAAGCTCTTTACCTGTGAGACCAAAAAACAGAAGTCTAAATTAATACTAACTTAGTTCCAGGAAAATACAAAAACTTTGCTTCAATATATATCCTTTCTTCTGCCCCTCCTTTGTGGTATTATTATCATGTATATTACATTGATATGTATTATAAGCCCCCAAAATATAGTGTTGTAATTATTACCCTATACAATCTTGTATCTGTAAAGAAGTTAAGAGAAGTTGACAGTAAAAATATCTTCATCTTTTTTTTTTTTAACATTAACCTACACATTTACTCTTTTCACTACTCTTCATTTCTTCCTGTAGATCCTAGTTACCATCTGGTGTCATTTCTTTCTTCAAATATAGTGCCATTACTCCCCCTTTCTTTGCGTTATCATTGTCATCAGTATAACATCTTTCATGTTATAAAGCTACCAATACAGTTTTATAATTATTATTTCATGAAATTGTGTGTTAATCATTTAAAAGGAAAGAAATAGGTTGAATCCAGATTTTGGCTATTGCGCTGCAATAAACATGGGAATGTAGATATCTTCTTGATATATTGATTTCCTTTTTTTTAGATATATACCAAGTAGTGGGATTGCTGGATCATATAGCATTTTCATTTTTAGTTTTTTGAGGAAATTCTATACTGTTCTCCATAGCAGCTACACTAATTTACATTCCCAGCAACAATGTGTGAGGGTTCCCCTTTATCCACATCATCACCAGCATCTGTTATTACCTGTGTGTTTTTTTAAAGATTAATTATGTTCATTTATTGAGAGCAGAGTGGGAAAACATTTCTTTTTGTATTGCATTTTAGGTTTTGGGCTACATGTGAAGAACATGTAAGATTGTTGCATAGGTACACACGTGGCAGTGTGATTTGCTGCCTTCCTCCCCATCACCTATATCTGGCATTTCTCCCCATGCTATCGCTCCTCAACTCCCCACCCCCAGCTGTCCCTCCCCTATTTCCCCCCAACAGATCCCAGTGTGTAGTGCTCCCTCCCTGTGTCCATGTGTTTTCATTGTTCAACACCCGCCTATGAGTGAGAACATATGGTGTTTGATTTTCTGCTCTTGTGTCAGTTTGCTGAGAATGACGGTTTCCAAGTTCATCCACGTCCCTACAAAAGACATGAACTCATCGTTTTTGATGGCTGCATAATATTCCATGGTGTATATGTGCCACATTTTCCCTGTTCAGTCTATTGTCTATGGGCATTTGGGTTGATTCCAGGTTTTTGCTATTGTAAACTGTGCTGCAATGAACATTCGTGTGCATGTGTCCTTATAGTAGAACGATTTATAATCCTTTGGATATATACCCAGTAATGTGTTTGCTGGATCAAATGGAATTTCTATTTCTAGGTCCTTGAGGAATCGCTACACTGTCTTCCACTAATTTACACTCCCACCAACAGTGTAAAAGTGTTCCTATTTCTCCACATCCTCTCCAGCATCTGTTGTCTCAATACAAAAAATTAGCTGGGCATGGTGGCACACGCCTGTAATCCCAGCTACTCGGGAGGCTGAGGCAGGAGAATTGCCTGAACCCAGGAGGCGGAGGTTGCGGTGAGCCGAGATCGTGCCATTGCACTCCAGCCTGGGTAACAAGAGCGAAAACTCCATCTAAAAAAAGAAAAAATCTTTGTTTTTAATAAAACATATTTTAACTAGAGTGAGATGATATCTCATTGTAGATTTTATTTGAATTTCTCTGATGATTAGTGATGTTGAGCATTTTATATACCTGTTAGCCGTTTATACCTATCAATAGAAGAAGAATGGACTAAAACACATGGTATGTATATCCAATGGAATATTCTTCAGCCATAAAAAAAGAATGAAATACTGTCATTTCCAGAAACATGGATGGAACTAGAAGTCATCATGTTAAGTGAAACAAGCCAAGCACAGAAAAACACATTGATTGTTCT